CGTCTTGGAGCAAATGTAAAGCAAAGCAGCTTTAGCTTTCTGTCTGCAGGAATGTCTGCCTAAGCATCCCTTTGGCTGTCAGCCTGGAAAATGCCAGTGCTGGAGAGGTGGCGATGCAGGGACTGCATCCTGAACAAAACCCAGTGTGCAAATTAAATGCAGAGAGGGCTGCTGGGACTCACCTTGGGCAGAGTCACTGACTGCTCTGGAAATGAGTTATTGGTTAGGAAATGGATTCTGCTTAAGCACTGTCTGTTTTGCAACTGTGGAGCAGCTTGGTGCTGATTTCCAAACAGGACCTGAAAGAGCAGGCGAATGTTTGAGCTCAGCTTTGTGAGAGGCAGCTCCGGGATTTCCCCACCTGGCAGCAGCTCCCTGAGCCAGCGCTGGGAGCTGCAGGTTTGCTCTGGGCATGCTGTGCCCAGCCACTGCCATGCTGAGAGCTCCACATCCCACAGATCCACAGATTCCCTGCTGCTGTCAACCCCATTAAGGGGCTGCTGTCAACCCCTTAATCCCAAAGCAGCTCATAAGGGGAGCTGACAATGGAGCCTAATGAAATTGCTTTTTTTTTTTGCTTTTTTTTTTTTTTTTAAAAAACCTCGGATGCAATTTTTTTACTAAAACTCCCCATCTTTTCAGAAGAAGCTGCTACCTGAGGAATAATCAGTGTTTTCAAATCTTCTTCTGAGGGTTTTTCTGTGTGTTTTGAAGGAAGAAAAAAAAAAAAACCAGAAAAAAAGCCCCAAGAATTTTTATACTGAATTGTATCTTGCTTTCCTTATGGGGAAATAGCAGCTTTTCTGCTGCATGGAGCTATTTAGTTTTGACAGAAGGTTGCTTGCTTTTTTAAAATCTGAAATTGTTTAGCAAAAGTGCCCTGGCTCCTGTGACTTGGCCAGCTGGAAGGACTGGCTCATTATTAATGTAATTATTTAGTTATTTGTTGTGGTAGAAGCAGAGCCCTCAGCCCATCCACATCAGCCTCAGGCATTGTGAAGGTTCCCGTGCAGATTTGGTGACTGTGTCTGGGGTGAACGGGATGGGGATGGTTTCAGAGAAGCATTTATGAAGATTTGTGTGTGTCCGACTCCTATTTTAGAATGGAAATGTGTCAGTACATCATAAATATTCCAAGTGATTTACATTCACTGGTTCAGGTGCCTTAGCCCCAGGAGTAGATAAATTGTGGTTTAAAGTGTTATTTACACTTTCAGGAAATTCAGTGCCTTTGGAAAGCACTGGAGGGAAAGTCCTGGAGGGAAGTTGACCCCTGGTGGGATGGAGAACCAGCAGGAAATGTTCTGCCAGATCCCAGCTCCCACTCTGCACAGGGCCCTGTGAGAAGTGTTTAAAAGCAACTTCTCCAATTGTTTTATATCTCTATAGATGAGTTTAATCCCTTTCTATTTCTACAGGAGTTTGGAAGTCCTATGTGTCTGAAATGATAGCAGGTAACACAATAGAGGGCTTAGCTGAACTTTAGGTATGCAGATGAGCTAAATTAATTAACAGTAGTCTCTTTCAAATATATGGCAGAGTAATACCAGTCTAGTCCATAGAAAGATTCTTTGGGACTTAATAGTGAACTGGGAGTAATTGATTATGCAATAACCTATGGTTAAGCAGATGATATCAGCAAGTCAGTGGGTAGGGTTTGGATTTGCCATTTTCCAGCAAGGATCCTTTGTGTTTGCTCTGTGAACTCAGTCTACAATGGTGTCTGTGACAGAGCCTATAGTTCCTGAAATTCCCATGTGGATCATGGGTGTAATAACCCACCCTTCACTAAAGGAAAATTATTATAGCATAAAGCTTGCAGGCTCAGAGCAGGTACAGCTGAAAGGGAGAATTAAGTATTTTGTTAAGAGCAGATAGTTGGCTTAGGACCTTATAAGCACCTATCTAAGCCTTGTTCAATTAATGAAACACAATTTAAAGCAAAAAGGATTGGTACTAACTAAACCACTGCAATATAAGCTCTTCTAATTATGCAACAAGATAATGTCCACCAGATTAAAATTTTAATTAGCTTAATTTAGAAATAGAAAAATCATTAGATTCCTAGTTCTGGAACACCTAAAATGACCTCAAGGGGGGAAAGGAATTGAAAATCATTTGAGCATTGTGTGTGTGTTCACATCTGTTGTTTTCTGAAACACGTCAGCAAATCCCAGTGGGCTTGGGCTCCTGGCTTTGCTTGCCAGGACCTGTTTGGGGATCTCAGGAGAGCTTGGGGAGCTCTGAGAGCAGGGGCAGTGCAAAGGAGTGCCCAGCACTCATTTCTAGCCCCAGCTGCCTGCAGTCCCTCTGGCTCTGCTTTCAGAAGGCAGAAACATGCTTGCTATAATAGGGACTTTTGTTCTTTTTTGTTTTCTTTTTCCTCTTTCCTTTTCCCTATTCATAGATTTAAAGGCCAAAACAGACCATTAAATCCAACTAATCTTACATCCTGCATGACAAAGGCCATCCCCCCATCCCCTAATTCCTCAATACCATGACCATGTCATTATCTACCCTTCTGTAAATGGACTGGGAGCCTGTGTGTGCTCCAGGCACAGAGCAGGACCCCACTGAAAACACCCAGCCTTGATTTAAAGACTTTAAGTGGCAGATGATTTATCACATCCCTCATGAAACCATTCCAATGTATAATTAACACTTACAGTAAAATAAGTCATTGGGACTGAAAGCACAGGGAGCTGTAACACACAGAGTGCACAGTGTACAGTTGTGTTTGGTTATGAGGTAAGGAATCCAACAAATTGCTTTTTTTGTCCTTTCAGGGGAGAAACAAAGATATTTGAACCATTTGCATAACATGGAAGCTCTTCAGCCCACCTTTTGAAAGGGCTGGAGGTTTGCTAAGAAAGCTTTGAGGAGATGGAGTAATTAAGAAAAGAGGGTTTTATTATGCAAGGTCGAGTGGGAAACTTTTATTGGGAGGGTTTGGCCAGCCCCTAGTCCCATGGGGAAAGCAGGACGAATTTGACTGTTGTGTGCTTCCCTTTTGGAAGGTCAAAGTCATTCCCTACAATTGCAAAGCATAATAAGAGAAAAACACTTATTCCTCTCTCAAGGCTGTCAAAAATGGAGGAGGGGAGGAAGTCCCAAACACTACATTTCATCAAAGCCCTGAAGGTAAAAATGATCTGCTGGCTTGAAATTTATCTTAATGAGCAAAATCCAGCCAATGAAACAGGGTGCAGATGAAAGTGACAGATGGAATCATTTAAAGTTTGATTCTTTGCATGAAAGAAAATAATATTTTTTACAAGTTATTTTTCTTCTGGTTCTGCATAGTGTCACAGCCAGATTAATTATCTTAAGTGTCTCAAAAATTCAGAGTTAGAGGGAGCTCTTGGAAAACTGTTATATCGCTTGGGACTTAGGCAGGTCCATAAAAGCTCTGTGAAGCAGGAGGACACATATTCTTGTAGAGAATCTCCAAATTCTGATGCTGAGAGGTGCTGTCCTCCACCCCTTATTGTGCAAGGCCAGAATTACGTGTTGTATATCTTTAATAAGGAAAGATGAGCAGGAAAATACATTATAATAATTTCATCTCAATCTTTTTGGACAGGTAATTCTTGCACAGTAACCTAGTGCACATCTGTGAGTAACAGCAGTGGACCCCATCCCTGTGAGAGGGCAGGAAACAAAGCATTGACTCCCTCTCCTCTGCCTACTTAATTTCTGATTATATCAATGAGCAGTTAGCAAAGGTTCAAGACACCAAGGAAGGTCATCTGCTGGCTTCTCTGATTTAAGCAGTGTCAGACTAGATGCTGTAGCACCCACAGCAAGTGTTTGACTGTGCAGCCCTCAGCCTGGAGGATGAAAAACACACACTGGCATCAGAGGGGTGAGGGGATTTTGAGGCTGTGGTGAGCCTGCTGCTGGTCCCAGCCATCCTTTCCATGGATTCAGCATTCCCAAAGCTCTGAGAAGGAGAATGAGGCCAGGATGGAGCAGCCCATGCTGCTCAGCCCTAGGTGGGTGGGGTGGTGTGGAAGGCACATTCTTCTCTCTTTTAGGATTTTTGATAGAGCACAGAAGAAAGAAAGAGAAAATTTCTATTAACAATTTCTATTTCTGCTCCTTGTTTTTCTTATGTGGAATGTGTTTGGAGAATTGTTTATCTGGGGTGATGCTTGATTGGATTCTGGTGAGGATTGTTTGAGCCTGACGGCCAGTCCAACCCACCTGGGGCTGGACTCTTACGAGAGGGCCAGGAATTGTGAGTTAGTTAGATATGGTAGTTAGAAAAAGTAGGTTTATAGTTTTAGTATCTCCTTTAAATAGTATATTAATGTGTTATAGTATAGTTATAATAAAGAAATCATTCAGCCTTCTGAACTGGAGTCAGACATCATCAGTTCTTCCCACCAGGTTCACCTGCATTTACAATAGGGGGGTGCTCACAGCATGGAGTGGGTACCCCACTCCCATCTCCTGTCCAAGGCAAGGAGTGAAGCCTCTGGCCAGACATGATCTGCACATGCACTGCCTGCCATGTGGCTGTGTCAGCTGGGAGCAGAAGGAAGGGATTGCAAGGAATTTCTTCAGATGTATTCCAGCAGCAGATTAAAATAGCTGCTACTATTTTGATCCAGGGAAGTGGCAGCTCAGGCACATGCAGGACTGGCAGCATCTCCACAAAGAGGGATTCCAAGGGCAGCCTGGGACTGTAGTGATGCAAACACGGGGTTGGCCCAGGGTGCCCAGGGCTGGCCCCCGCCAAGGTGGTAGAATTTGGGATCAGGAGGTATAAATTCTGTGAGTTATTGTAAAGTGCTGTAATGCTATGAACCCTGAACGTTTTTGGGAAACCACAAGAAATTGCTGCGCTCAATAATCTGTAATTTACATCCAGTCCAGTTGGGGATTTTCTGCTGAATTCTGTTGTGATGAGATTTTTAAATGTTTAATTGTATTTCTGTTTTTTTTTCCAGAAATTTCAGTGTAATATAACACGAATATTCTGTTTCCCTGCAGTGTATGTGGGGGGTAGGGTATGGAGGAAAGGGAGCTTTTTCTTTTTTAGGAGTTTTTTTTTATACATAACTGGAATGTGAAACTCCTGCTTTGTCCCTCATTTTCTATTTTATAGGGGGATGCTTGCTGTAAGCCTTTAGCAGCTTGGCAGACCTAGATTTGAAGTAAAAGAAAGAAAATTTGTCTCTGCATCTTCAGAAACTGTGAATTATTTATTTGCTATTCCTGGTAAATCTGCTGTTGCAAAACCTCACTGCGAAATGAGCATTTCTTTGTTTCATTGGACTGTGGGATCACTCCCTGAAGATTCATCAGCCCTGCTGCTGTAAGAAGCTGTCCTCAAAGCTTTTTTTATTGTTATTATTTGGTAATGCTTGAGATTATTTTTGCTTCACCGTCATTTATTCTCCTGTTCATTTTAAAAACTAGGTAATTGCATGAAGTAATCTGAAATTTAAGATCTCCTCCTGAGATTTTTTTTTTTGTGCCTGCATCCGATCTTCTGTCACATAGGTTAACTCCACAACACTGTTGCCCAAATTCAGCATCAATTTCAACAAGTAAATATTTATACAGCATCCAAGATGCAGTCTGTACACAGAATGACACCAAATTAAGTTAAATTGATACTAACTACTCTAGGATTGAAGAGTGTCCGGACAAAAGGTGTTACCAATTTAACCAAATCTATTTCAAAACCTGGAATAATTCACTGTGAAGGGCAAATTTCACCTTTCGGATGTCTTGAATGCCTTTGGACCAAATCCCACTGTTTTCACTCCACACAGGACTACCTATTGAGATAGTGTAAGGTCATATTATGTCTTTTCTCACTGTTCTTTCAGGGCCATGTGTTCCCCCTGGGTTTTAGGAAGATTTAACAAATATTTGTTTTTAACAGCCTTTTTCTTCAGTGTAAAACCACTGTTGAAGACCACTGTACATTATCTTAGTCTCTTGCCCACCTTAATCAGGCAAATGCTGCAGGTTTTGTTCTGAACTAGGTCAGATGCACCAGTTTTGCACTATATATATTCAGGGTGGGCACAAAGTGTCCCTTGGACCATATGGTCTGCAGCCCTGGGTTTTGTTGGCTCACAGTCTTTCTAATTCCTCCTAATCTGCTCATAAGCACCTCCAAAAGGGTTCTTCACACACCTCACCAGTAATCTCTATCAATGTCTGGTTGCTCTTTCAATCTAATGCCAGATGGTATTAATATACCCATCACTGTAATTATCCAGACAAGCAAACAGTGGCAGGAGCAATCCCAACTTCTCACTTTTCCCACTGATTCAGAGGCATACTTGAAAGAGCCCTTTCATCCCCATGGATCCTGTTCCCTGGAGTTGTCCCAGGCTGTCCTCATCAAAAGGGAATTTGATGTTTCAGCAGTTTCTCAGCCAGTTTCATGCTGGGAAAGACTCAGTGGTGATGGGGCAGTATCATTCATTCTCCCTCCAACTGTTGCCCAGACACTTGGTACATGGCCAGGTGTCAGTCCCACATCAGGTCCTCCTTTAAAACCTTTCACAAGACCGAGATCTATGTGTGAAATGGAAATTCTGCTGATGCCTTGTAGCTTGAAAGCTAGCCTGCCTTTTGTCTGGCTCCCAGATTTGCTGCAGTGGACAGCCTGGACAGAAGGTTTCTGATGCCATGTGTTGGGAAGGAGGTACTCCTGAAAGCTTCCTGCACCCAGCAAGTTCTGTGCAAATACCTCCTGCCAAGTCCATCTAAATGCTATGTGGCATTTGGAGAAAGTTTATTTAGCTTGAGCCGACAGCAAAATGAAACTGTAAGGAATTATTTTGAAATTATCTTGAAATTATCTTGTAAATTGGGTCCCTTGAGTATCGAGATCTTTGCTCAAGCCTTTAAAGGCTGCCCAGTTTACCACACACCCAAAGAGCTTTGGGCAATGTGTGTATTCAAGGAGGCAAGATCTGTAAGTAGAGATAAATGCAAGATCAGTTTGATAGCTGGAAAAAACAGAACACGTTTGAACACCTCAGCCTTTCCAAGACCCATCTCCTATTAAGGAGTAAGATGTTACACTTGCACCAAGCGTATTTGGTTTTAGGAATGAGCAGCAGTGATGCCATAATGACAAGAAGGAAGACTTTGATGCCCACATCACAAAGAATATGCAAACTTGTATTATTCCTTTGATTAGCTGCTCTCTGATATGTCAAGTCCATGAATAATCAAGCTTCATTTTCTAATTAGTTTACTCATCACCCCACTGCTCCATGCCTTCACTCATTTGCATACCCTGTACTAGATAAGGGCCTTATTCTATGAGGTGCTAGCAGGGCTTCCACCTCTCTCCCACCACAGCATTTCTTTGGTCCTTTCCCAGGTATTTCCTTGCTCTTGACTTTGCTTCTTCTCCCATGCAATGACCATGTCACTGCTCTGTGCTTTCCCACTCATTTTAAGACTTGTTTCCTCAGGAAGCAGAATGGTGTCTTCCACGCTGTGAAGTCTCCTGGTGATACCTTATGACTCCATAATCTGGTTTCAGCCAGCCCCAAAGGAGAAGTACAATAATCAAAGTTGATGGTTTGCACATGTTATGGAAGTGGTGGAGGAGAGGGGATAAGGCAGCTGGGGATAAGGCTGGAGCATCCACTTCATCACTTTGAGGAGAAATGATGGGAAAAGTGGTTTTGAATGCCGTGGCCACAAATCTGTTCAGCCATCAGACAAGGCAGGCAATTCCATAAAGGAAAGCCGCAGCAGTTGGGCTGTTGATGATTATGTTTGTCACTTTAATAAATATGTTATTTTCATGACACAGGAAGCTTTTCTGTACTGATTTCATCTATCTTCTCCCCCTTCCTGCACAGGTAATGTAAGATGAATCACGTTACAAGGAGATAAAGTCAACCTAATAGCTCGTTTGCATTTCTTCTAATCAAGTTATTCTAATTGTGCTTATTGTGCAAATAAGGTTTCCCCTCTCATCTGAAGACTTCATCCCCTCAGCAGCTGTGGGTGCCTCAGCAGTTGGGGTTACCCCAGACCCAGCCAGGGCTGCCACAGCCCAGCCCTGCCCATCTGCCCAGGGGGTTCAAGCTGGCTGCACTCCAGCCCTTACCTGTGCCAAACAGGGACCTTACCTGTGCCAAACAGTGACACCGGGACCTACTCAGGCTGAACTGATACAGAGACTTGCTCCTTTCAATAAGCTGGAGGCCTCAGTGCCTGGTAAAGCTCTGTTTTACACATGAAGAGCCTGCTTATCTCAAAGCTGGTGTGTGTTTTCTTTTTGTTGGAGCCAAGCAGTCACCATTTGCCAGCCAAATGCAGAGGTGAAATTTAGATGCTGTGGAAACAAAGGTTTTCAGGAAGTACACGGGGATGTGATGATCAGCCCCAGCTGACGAGCTAACAACAGTTTCCTAAAGCAGCAAAGATCAATCTAGGGAGGCACAAGGTGTTTTATTGATCTGTCTCTGGGCAAACACCCCGTGCCTTTGCATACAAACCCCTGATTTTCTGAGTGTTCCCGCGGGTAATAAGAGAGAGTCAGCCCAAAAGGAGATTCTTTACCAGCTCAGCTTGGCCCTGCTATACTGGAGGGAGGCAGCTGCTGACAGGGTGGGTGCTGAAGGGACCAGCCAGTGGTAGGAGACACTTAAAGATGGGAGAGAAGAGGAGCAGTGGCCATACCCATGTGCTCATCTGGGTGTGACCATGCACTGAGACATGGGGTGAGGGGATCCCCTGTGCCAGCAGAAAAGGGTCATGTGTGGGGACTGGGAACAGGGATCGTGTGTTGGGAGTGTCTGGGGATGCTGTGTGTGGAGAAGGAGGCAGAGATTTTTTTCACTGATGTTACTAGGTGCTTTTGATTGACCTCAGCTTAAACCAGCTGCCCCGCCAACTATCGAATCTTGCCTGTGCTGTGAAACCTTAACAGCTCTGCTCTGTCCTACTTTTATCTAGTTCAGAGCAATTTTTTTATTTCTTTAGTGCCTAAGCAAATGTTTTGGGTCCCTGGATCAAAGCTCAAGAGCATCATTTACATACTGTGAGCGAGAAGGCAGCAGACTGGAGACCATCACTCATTACTGAAAGGATGATCATTGTTTGTTTAGCCTATTCCAAAATAATGGCTCTGCTGGGAACACCGACCCAGTATGCATCATATCTTTTATAGTATATATTAATTTAGTGTAGACTTCAGGCCATTGTTATTCTCTCAGTTTAATTCCCAGGTATTAGCATTCAGGATTGGTTTTAACTCACCGCACAGCTTTGTTATTTCATAATGTAAAATAAATAAAACTGGAGGCAAACATTTTTTTTATACAAATGACTGTGAGAGAGTGATGGATATAAAGCATAGAAACATCTTTATAATTTTAAGGTTTGAATTTCAGAACACAGAGTTTTCATTAAATGGTGTAATCCATTCATTTTGGAGATCCAAATGGAAGCAAATGAACTCCATAGTTCTCATGCCTAGAATCTTTGTGGTAAAATTGCCTATTATTGTGAGTGTAAATGTTTTCAAAATATTGTGGACAACTGGAAAAAATGTGGAAGACAGGAGAGGTTGCTCAAGGATTAAAACCATAAAAAAAATCACCTCCAGACACCACATGTACCTGCTGAAATTATTTAGAGAGAATTGCTTGAGAGGAGGGAAAAAGGAGGCAAGGTTTTTTGGGGTTTTTTTGGGATTTTTTTAGGTTTTATGATGAATAAAGGTCTGGGGAGGGTGTTTATAAACTATTTTCTTTGCTGCCTGCTGTGCATAATAGAAAATTCAGCTCTAGGCTGATTGGCCAGGCAGAGAAACAGAGACATCACAAAGGACAGGGAAGCAAAAGCTGAGGTGCTGTGATGGGGAGGGGAAGGAGAAGCTCAGACATTTCCAGCCCTACTTGAGATTGGGGTGCACCTCTGTGTAACATCAGGTAAGTATTGGAGCACATCAGTCAAACTGGGGTTGCCCAAACCCATGGTCCCACCCTGGCTGCTTTTCCATGAAGAACAAGACACTGGGGATGGGGTGAAAATCTCCTTTAGCCAGAAACCTCTTATTTTTATTATTTTTTTTTTTCTTGCAAGGCTGCAGTTGTCACAGGCATTAATTGCCTCAACATCAGTCGCACCAAGAGGGAAAGGAAAGCCTCGGGCTCACTGGTTGGGTTGTGCTCCATGGCCCTACCAGGTCTTGGCACATGGTGTGTGGTTGTGTCCCTGTGGAATGGCACAGGGTGAGCACCCATGTGCTCCTACCGCCCTCATTGAACAGCCACCAGCTGCTGGAGGGCTAAACAACACCTGCATACAAATATACACAGCACTGTAATCAGAGATAAATCCACAGAGTCCTTGTTGTTATTGTTTTATTTACAGAACACTCTCGTTGCACAGAGAGGTTTTGAAATATGCTGACAGAGACAGCACAGGTATTTGCTACCTTAACAGAAACCACTTGGGGCATCAAGAAAAGCAATCGGTGCAAAAAAGTCTCTGCACCTCTCCACCCAAAAACCCCAAAACAAAACGGAAACACTGGGTGTTGGTGTGAGGTGTGAAGAGAGCGTGGACAGCTCGGTGCCCAAGGACGGGAGTGTGCGTGTGTGCTGGACGGGCGGTGACAATGACGGTGGCTCCGCGGCCGCGCCAGTGGCACGACCCGGGCCGTTCCCCGCGGAACACGACCCGGGCCGTTCCCCGCGGAACACGACCCGGGCTTTTTCCTGCAGAACACGACCCGGGCCGTTCCCTGCGGAACACGACCGGGCTTTTCCCTGCAGAACACGACCCGGCCGCTCCCCGCGGGCACAGGGCCCCGCGCGCACCGCCGGGGGCGCGGCGCTCCTCGGGCCGCTCCGGCACGGGCACGGAGAACGGAGCCCCGCGGTGCGCCCCGGGCCGGCCGCGCTCACAGCACACTCGGTGTGCGCCGGTCCCGGTGCCGTGCCAGTCCCGGTCCGTGCGTGCAGCGCGGTGCCGGTATGGTCCCAGTCCCGGTGCCGGTCCCATTCCCCGTCCCATTGTCGGGGCCGGTGCGGGCGGAGCGGCCGCGCGGGGCGGTGCCGGGGGCGGTGCCGGTGCCGGGGGCGGTGCCGGTGCCGTCCCGCTCCGCTGCCGGTGCCGGGGCGGTCCCGGCGGGGGCGGGGCCGCGGCGGGGCGGGCGGAGGCGCGGCGGGGCCGGGCGCGGGGGCTGCCGGGAAGGGCCGTGGGCAGCGGCGGGCGATGGCGGCGGCGCGGGTCCCGCCGCGGCGGAGGCGGCGGCGGCTGCGGAGGCTCTGAGCGGGGCGGCGGCGGCGATGCGCGGCGCTCCCGGCGACGATGGAGGACCGGTCCCACAAGGTGCTGCTGGCGCTGGTGATGCTCTTCCTCTTCGCCGTGATCGTGCTGCAGTACGTCTGCCCGGGCACCGAGTGCCAGCTCCTGCGGCTCCGCGCTCTCAGCCCCGCCGCCGCCGCCGACCCGTACCGGGCGGAGGACGAGACGCCGGCGCGTTTCGTTCCCCGTTTCAATTTCTCCGCCGACGACTTGCTGCGGCGGGTGGACTTCAACATCAAGGGGGACGACCTGATCGTGTTCCTGCACATCCAGAAGACGGGCGGCACCACCTTCGGGCGGCACCTGGTCCGCAACATCCAGCTGGAGCAGCCCTGCGAGTGCCGCGCCGGGCAGAAGAAGTGCACCTGCCACCGGCCCGGCAAGCGGGAGACCTGGCTCTTCTCCCGCTTCTCCACCGGCTGGAGCTGCGGGCTGCACGCCGACTGGACCGAGCTCACCAACTGCGTGCCCTCCGTGGTGGACAGCAAGAAGGAGGTGCGGCTCCGGCCCTCCAGGTGAGGCCGTGCCCGGGGCTCCCCGCGCTCGGCGGGACGGGCGATGCCCGGGGGCGCAGCCTGGCGGGGATGCTGCGGGGGGAGCGCGGTGTGGACCGAGCATCCCGGCACGGAGCGGGGGCACCTCCGGGAGCCGCGCCGGCCCGGGGCCACCGCGGTGGGCACAGCGTGCCCCGAGCGCTGCGGAGCGAGCAAAGGCTGCCCCGCTCCGCCCGCAGGGAGGTGATGGAAGTGATGTCCCGCCGGCTGTCGCGGGTGTGACCGCTGCTGGGGAGGGGTGATGAGCCCGGTGATACGGGAACAGGCCTGGCAGCTCCGCAGCTTGGGGACCCCCGGAGCAGCTCTCGCTGCAGAGAGGGTGCTTCGGCTGCCTGCGAGCTTCGCCCAGAGCTTTTCCATCTTTGGCTGTACAGAGCTGCTGCGGCTCCAGTGTGCGCCAAGAATTACTGTTGGTTTTGGGAGTGTTGGTGAGCCTCTCAGTATCTTGGTATCTTCTTGGTACCTGAAGCTTGGCTTCAGGATGGTGGCCATTCAAAGTGAAGGTTACTGTTATGGCTGAGTTACCTGCAAATATTTGCATTGTTCTTCAGCCCTAACCTTGATCAGTTTGTGCTTGCATTTTGAATTTTAGTGGTACTGCTCTCTCTTTATCCCTGGATCTTCTTTCGAAGTTGCCAGCCTCCCTTGATGATAGCAAGGGGGTTGCCTAAAAGTTGCCCCTGCCTTCCAGAAGCCATGGGGCTTTTCCTCTGAGCAGTGAGGACCTGCTTCTTCCTCTCCCAGAGCTCTTTGATGAGAGCCCACCTTCAGTTGTAACAGACTCAGGGGCTTGTCTGTGGCTGTACCATGTAGCAGAACTGCTCAGGGTTTCAGTGTCTTTTCCCTTTCTTTTGTGGGAAATTAGAAACTAGAGTATCACTCCTATTGCACTGCGAGACTAATGGCAGGTCTCTTTACAAAGAGGCTAC